AGGTGTATTGTAATACTATGATAAGTAATAATTAACATATGTATTTTAGGTGTATTGCAATACTATGATAGGTAATAATTAACATATGTATTTTAGGTGTATTGTAATACTATCATAGGTAATAATTGACATGTATTTTAGGTGTATTATAATACTATGATATGTAACAAGTGACATATGTATTTTAGGTGTATTGTAATACTATGATAGGTAACAATTGGCTTATCTATTTTAGGTGTATTGTAATACTATGATAAGTAATAATTAACATATGTATTTTAGGTGTATTGCAATACTATTATAGGTAATAATTGACATGTATTTTAAGTGTATTGTAATACTATGATAGGTAACAATTGGCTTATCTATTTTAGGTGTATTGTAATCCTGTGATAGGTAACAATTGGCACATGTATTAAATTTAGATGTATTGTAATACTATGATATGTAACAATTAACATGTGTATTTTAGGTGTGTTGTAATACTGTGATAGGTAACAATTAACATGTGTATTTAGGTGTATTGTAATACTGTGATAGGTAACAATTGACATGTGTATTTTAGGTGTGTTGTAATACTATGATAGGTAACAATTAACATGTGTATTTTAGGTGTATTGTAATACTGTGATAGGTAACAATTGGCACATGTATTTTAGGTGTATTGTAATACTGTGATAGGCAACAATTAGCATATGTATCAAAAATATCTAGCTAATACGCTAAAAGCATTTCTAAAATAGGTACAGCCACTTGAGTAGATCTGAACATTTTTAACAACATTGGATTGCACTATTAGTTAAAAGAAAGTAGAAAAATAAACAACACAGATAATTCAAATCATGTTTTAATTACAAATGTTCAAATGTTACTTCTTATGATTTTCACTGCTTCACCATTTTCGGCGTTTTCCACAAGAGAATCTTTGTCAAAACTTTTGCGGTAAATACCTAGTCAACATTAGTCCAATATCACTCATTTCCATTTGTTTTTCAAATTTAGAGTAGGAATATTTTTTTATGAAACTTAGATTACATTGTAAAGTTAAACTAGCGAATGTCTATACTTACACTAGAATATCGAAAAACTAAGATGGTGTTTTATTTTTCAGAAGTCGTTGTAAACTAAAAACTGTCGAGCTGAATATAAAAAGAATGGTCCCTTACCTGATTTTACTTGTTGATGCCCTTTCGAGAGCACAGGCGGCATATTCTAAAGTTTTTTGTATTACATTTATGGGAACATCATCGTGCTGGAGGTGGCGAGCAATTTCTCGAAGTCTGAAACATCAAGAAATAGGCTTAATATTTTTGTGTTAAACGTAAGAGGCAGTTATAATGAAAGACTGTATAATTTAAATAAACCAATTATAAAAACGATAATGACCAACGAGGTACGATATAACTATTTCCAGTGACTCCAAACGTAAAAGTATTTGGAAAACTAAATAACAGATATTAGAATTCAGATACAATCTGTAAAATAAGGACTCCACCGGATATGGAACCAATGCAAAACAACACCTTATTAAACAGTCATCATTCATGCTCATTTTAATAAAACATAATCTCAAATACATACTTGTTTTGTTAAGAATTTTTGAAATCGTTGTAATTTATTTCATTCTTTTTGTACTATAGGTTATCTGGACTATGACCACCGCAGGGAGCGAACCCTAATTGTTTGTTGAATTTCACGGAAAGCTACTTGAGAGCTATCTGCGCTAGCAGTCCCTAATTTCGAAGTGATAGACTAGAGGGAAGACAGCTAGTAAATTCTTAGGTTTCTCTTTGTCAACGAATAGTGGGATTGACCATCATTTTATAACGCCCTCACGACTGAACTGGCGAGTACGTTCAGTGATGTGATTCGAACCCGCGACTCTCCTTAACCACTAGGCCTTTTTATCATTATAATCCAACAATCTTTCCACTGAGTCACCGGGAGATTCTTTTTCTGGTAAACTATGCTTTTTTTATTTTATTTCTTACAAAGCCATATCTCCCATTTTCCAATTTTAACGCCTTCAAGATTTACATCAAGGGATGCTCCAACTAGGCCTAAAGGAACTTATTGAAATACATTATTTCTGAAAAGAATGGATGATAACAGTTTCTGTTTTGCTGTTGTGTAAAAAAGATGATACATTTGTTTTTCATTTGATAATTACAACCTGAAAGGCATCTCGTGTGACACGTGGGCTAAATGCCCAATTAATCACCTCAATGTAATGGGGCACCCGCCGCCTACATGGCTATTCCTAGCTGAATACCAGAAATGTCACTTTTATAGTATGTCTGCAGTTGAAATGCGAAGTGTTTTTAAAAGTATATCGAAGACTTCAAACGTGGACCTTCCAATCCAAAACGCGGTAGCTAACTACTAGGCCAATCCTTGTCTACTTTGTTTGTTTATTTAATATTTCGGTTTGGTTTTGGGTGTTGTTAAGCACAAACCTGCACAATGGGGCTATCTGTGCTCTGTCCACCACGGGCATCGAAACCCGATTTTGAGCGACGTAAGCCTATACCGCTGAACTCCTGAGGTGGACTATCTGATATTTGAATTTATAGCTTATTTTCCAATTATCTGTTTGGTTTTGAGGCTGTAATTAAAGGAGAAAGGCGGTAAAAATATTGATAAAACAAGGCACTAAGCTGAACAAATTTCGCATTATTTTATAATGTGTAAAAAGAATTGATACCATTTCACCAAAAAGCTTTGTATCAGAATGATATATTTAGTGTTAATGTAGAGTAAAAGGAAGGATTTGGGATGCTGATATTGATAATGTCGATTAATAACGCTGGCTATGACATCATTCTGAATACGAATAAGACTCCAAAAATATAACTTTAACACCAAGGTTCGTTTATTTTATTTTGTCATCAAACACTGTTTCCCTACGATCATTGGTCTACATCATTCGACAGTTATACGGCGTTATCCCCCCCCCCCAGTGGTTCAATGTTGAGTCTTGGGGATTATAACGCTAAAAAATCTGGTTTCGACACCGGCAGTGGCCAGAGCATAGATAGCCCATTGCTTAGCATTTGTGCTTCACAACCAAAAAACAACCAAATATAATGAGTTGTATGAGCTTTGGATAAGTACAGGTTTTGCGGAAAACATTGAGGATATTATAGCATGGTTTATTAAATACAAAATAAATGTAAAGCTCCTATGCAGGACCAGCATAGGGGGAGGCTTTGTCGTCAAGATGTGTAGATCACGAGTGTGTTGGACAGCTTATTGGTGTAGCTAAGACAAGTTTTTTTTTTGGGGGGGGGGG